CAACGTTTCGACAAGGTTTTGTCATCATCAGGGAGAAGAGATTCGTTATAAAATGGGACATATTGCAAAGGAGTGCAAGTCTGTTACCATCAAGCAACAGCAGAAATCTCAATATAAAGCAGCTGGAGCTATTTACAGGGATAGTGCTGGTAAGAAACAAGAAAAGAGTGACTGGCACTATGGATGCTGCTACGAGAAGAAACAGAATCGAGACAACTCGTCAGATTCACCACAAAAAGGAAGTGTCATTTACATGATTGATCAGTGCACGACTAATGGTCAGCTCAAGTTCACAAATGGACAAACCCTGCCACTAGCTGATCGGAGCATGTTACAAATATTGAGAGACTATAGGAGAATACTTAGTACATGAACTGAGAACATTATTTGTATATAGTGGAAACAAATATTGTAAATATGTCTCTTAAAGAAGGGCTTAAGTCAGATATAAAAGACTGTTTAGTGTAGGTATTATAAATTAATTTTGTGTTTGTAATTCACTGATGTGGAAGCTTTTGAATGTTGTGTGCAATCCATTGTTGTCGAGGCTATAGAGTTTTCTAGAAGGTCTAAGTGATAGACGTATAAATAGCTGCAACCAGACGAGCAGAAACAGAAAGAGAGAATAAAAAGTAAAGTCACAAGAAAGAGAAGTTCGGTGAGAGAAACGTTTGAAAAAACATAGTTAACCATCATAAGAGTGAAAAGCCTGATAGTTGATATGTTACAGTGAGATTAATAGTTTGAAAGAGATAAGGAAACTAATTTGTTATGTCATAGGGTGTTCTAAGCTAATTTATCCCGCCTATATGGACTTTGACAGAAAAGCAGATGATTATTTGGAAGCACGAAAAAGCAGACAATTATTGGAAGTACAGGATACAACTGCGGCAACTCACGCGATAGTGTAATATGAACTATGGATACTATTGTGATAAAAATAGAGAAAAATAGTTTGGCTTGTCAACTGAATTCTAAAGCAATTGAACTGACCTAAGTGGAATTTTTGACAAGAAGAAGAGAACAGTATGGTGTTTAAGATACAACTATGATCTCCATAATGTAAAGAATTTTGTTTGTACGTTCACCTTGTTTCTAATATATATATTATTTTTAAAATAAATGGAGTACATGCTGTTAGTTTATTGTCCAAGTTATCGCCAACAAGTCACAGACACCTACTGTAGAAGAATCCTTAGCTCAACACACCCATATACATACATTACCACATACTACTAAAAAAAAATAAGTTCCTGATATTGTTCGACCCTGGTTGTAACGGCTATTTTTAGTCTGTTACAACAGCTCTTCAGAAAAACTGAAACTTTAATACATGCATGTATTAAAAACTTGTTTATTGAATTTCGTGCAAAGCTACTCGGGATCTATTTGTGCTCCTGACCCTCGTTTAAAAGTTATAGACTAGAGGGAATATAACTGGTCAACACCACCCATTGCCAAATATTGGGCTACTCTTCACCAACTGAAAGTGGGACTGACGTGCCATTATAACCTCCCCACAGCTAAAAGGACGACCATATTCGATGACGATTCAAACCCGCAGATTGCAAGTCGAGTGCTCAAACCACCAGGATTTGTAGTATAGTCATTGAAAATATTAGTGTATAAGATAATGTACACCTTCTAAACTAACATATTCCCAGTTAAATATTTAAAGATTAAAATAGTGTTGCATATATGCTTGTTTGTTTGTTTCCAGTAGAAATTCTTTCCAAGGATCTTCAGCAATACAAGTCCTTTCTTGATTAAACCAGTTTATTCTTCCTTTT